CAGGATAGAGCAGGGTGTAGGGCTGTTGTACATAGGGTCGCTATGATTCGCAAATGACTCGACAGCACATAACAACAACAACAACCCTTTTACTCTGTGATGTAGTCTATTAACTCATGTCTTTTAACAAGAGTTCTGAAAAAAATTATTTCTAATATGCATATTCTGTGAATAAATTGTATAAAAATTTGGAAATAAATGATTAATATTATTCACTTATACAAAATGCAAACAGGAAATTCTTTTGTGTATCCTTTTTAAAATTTTAAATTGGTTTACATGCCACTGATATTTCTCATGTGAAATCTATAAAACAGTTTTTAATCTTTTTAAAGATTGCATGACTATAACTAGGAATCCACCTCTGAGGGAGAAACGTAAATATTGTGTACCCTAGGTGTCCTTATGACTAGAATTTAATGCATGTTTAAGTCTCAACTCTTTTATTATTTTTCTTTATACTTCACATTTATAATTATCTGTATTCCTCTACTGTTCATAGGGTTTCAATGACTAAGGATTACAGAAGAAGACTTGCTGCCTTTGGGATGGGTTGTTGGAAAGGAGTACTTAATATCTCATGGATTGGCCAAAGAACAGTTATGTCTTGGAGAAGGTGTAGTCAGAGTGCTCCTTGGAGGCAAAGATGATAGAGTTTTGTCTCACATACTTCAGCCATGTTATTAGCAAAGGCTATTCTTGGAGAGGCAGGCTTGGAAAAGTGGAGGGTCAGCAAAAGACAGGAAGACCCTCAACTAGGGAGACTGACACAGGACTGCAGCAGTGGGTCTGAGTGTGTCAGGAAGTGTGAGGATAGCGCAAGACAGGACAGAGTCACTTTGGGTCATACTAGATTCAACAACACCTCACACCACCACCACATCCATATTTCATTGCACGCATTTTTAAGATGAAAGTATAAACCTTAATATCTTGGCTGAAGTTATTGATAGTCCGCCATCCTGCATTGGTCAGATGATAATTCACCCAGCGTAGCAACAACTCCTCGGGAGAAAGTTTCATCAGCTCCTCCAGCTCTTCACCGTCACTTAACAACGCAATCAGAGCTGGGAAGAAAACACAGGAAGGTCAGTATTTCCTAGAGAGAGCCGTTTCTGTGCAAAGTATTTCTGGTCACCTTACCTTCATTTCTGGAAATCTCAATATCAGCAAAAAGACCAACTTTGATGATTTGCCACAGAAGTCCCAAGACCAAGTGAGGTTTTCCTTCTTTGAGGTCCTGAGCGCCAATGTTGACCACCGTGCATCCAATGGCAGAGGCCGAGTTCAGAGCTAGGTTTAAATTTTCCTGAATGGCAACAAGAGAAAGCAGACGTGAAGCTCTGTCTCCAAATTGGGAAGGTAAGCAAGAAATAATGCATTGCAGAAATTTTAGAATCGGAATTTGCAGAATCGGAAGAAGGATGGGTAGTCACCTCCTGTGAGATTAATTGCCTCTCAAAACCTGCAAGAGGGTCAGCTATGGGTCAGTTCCAACTCGATAGTACATAAGAACAACAACGTAGTAGAACAATTCCACAGAAGTGTAACTGTATTATTAATCTTAATAATTCTTAATTAAATGCTGTCTTTTTGTTGTAAGCAACAAATCAGAGCTACCTGAATTTTAAAGAGTGTTTCGGAGTGGAATTTATTGCTGAATATTTCTTTCTTTGCCACAGATATACAGATACATAGCTGGAGTGTCCCTTGGAGGCAAGGGTGATAGGACTTGGTCTCACATACTTTGAGCATGTTGCCAGGAGGAGCTACCCCACGGAAAAGAAGATTAAGCTTGGAAAGGTGGAGGGTGAGAGAAGACGACAATCCAGTGAAATGGATCTGATACAGTACTTCTAACAATGGATTTGAGAAGAACAGAAACTGTAAGGATGGGACAGGATCAGGAAAGTTTTAGATTTGTTCTACACCGGGTTGTTAGGGGTCAGAGTCAACTTGGTAACAATGATACATACACACAAACACATATGATAAAGAAAAAATATATGTATATTTTGTTTGTTTATTTTTCTTCTAAGAAGATTAGAATCAACACTTTTGGTACCAGCAGCCAGGAAATCAGAAGATGAATTGCATTAGGAAAGTTTGTTGTCAGGAAACTCTCCAGAGTACTGAAGAGCAAAGATGCCAGTCTGGGGACTAAGGTGCGCATGATTCAGGCCAAAATCTTTGTGATTACTTGCTATGCATCAGAAAGCTGGACAATGACTAGGGATGACAGAAGAAGAATTTATGCCTTTGAGTTGTGGTGCTGAGGAAGAGTTTTGAATATGCGATGAACTGCTAGGAAAATAAACAAAGTCATCCTAGAGAGGGTGAAACCTGGCTGCTCCTTGGAAGCAAGGATTCTGAAGCTTTGTCTGACATACTTTGGGCATGTTGCAAGGAGGGACTAGTCCTTGGAGAGAGGTATCATGCTTGGGAGGGTGGAGGGACAGAGCAAGACAGGAAGACCCTCAATGAGATGGATTGCTTGAGTGACTGGGGTAACGGAGATAAGCTGTCAGAGACAATAAAGTTGGCACAGGATAGAGCTGGGTTCAGAGTTATTGCTATGAGGCACAAGCAATTGAATGCACATATTAACAACAAGTCTGAATACTATTATTGTAAACAATCTAAAATTAAGTGACTCATTTCATTCATTATAAAATGCAATTGAATTTTTATTTAACAAAAATTCAGATTTTAAAGTAAAAATTATGTCAAATCAGAAGTCCTTTCTGGGCTCCTATAACCATCAATGAAGGCATTGCATTCCTGAGTGTAGTTCCATGCTGACTGGCAAAGGACAAATACTTACAGAAACAGTGAAAGGGGTCAGCTTTCTCTTGTTAATTGCTCTTTCATCAATTGTATCTGGCTCAGACAAGTTGATCATTTTGCTAAAGAGAAAATAATAATTTATTTTAAAGCATTTTGTAATGTTTTTAGCTTTTACTCAGTCAAAAATAGTTAAATTTTGAAAAAGTACATCAATCCACCTCTTGATACTACTATTATTACACTGTAGTTCAAAGGAGGGCTTCATCTTACAAGCTGCAATAAATGTTTTTAAAATTCACTATACTAAAGTAAATCTGTCAGTGCAGTAGTAATTTTAGCCTTTTTCTTCCTAATCTTTTCCAAATGCAAAGTTTTCTTTACCTGAGTCTTGTCTTTATTTCATTTAATGATCATCAACATTCATCATCCTGAAATGCAAACAAAGACTAAAAACAAAAACTTAAGAACTAGAGATGGCATTGCATAATGGACTGAGGGAGGCGGCACAACGGGAGGGCAGAAAATGGACAACAATGAGTTAAAAAAACCCAACCACTCTGTAAATCTTTGTTAAAATCACAATTAAAAAATAAAATAAACTCAACAAAGTTAAAAAAACCCCTGATATCCTATGTTCATACGGGTAGGGTTTTTTGTTGTTGCTATTGTTGTTTTCACCTTGGTTTCCACCACACTGCTCCCTGGAGGCAAGGATTCTGAAGCATCGTCTGACATACTTTGGACATGTTGCAAGGAGGGACCAGTCCTTGGAGAGGGACATCATGCTTGGGAGGGTGGAGGGACAGCATAGGAGAGGAAGACCCTCGATGAGATGGATTGATTTAGTAACTGAGTAATGGGGGTAGTTGTGTCAGAGACAATGAAGCTGACTCAAGAAAGAGCAGGGTTTAGAGCTGTTGTACACAGGGTCGTAAGCCATGAGTACAACAGGATCCTCCACTATGAGTTGTAAGCGAATTAATAGCACATAACAACAACACTGCTGTTTTGTTTATTAAGTAAAAACAAAGAGAAAATACAGAAGGAAGGTGTCATAATGTTAGTAATTTTTAATCATGAGTGGGAGGAGTATTAGTAACATTTATTTTCTTGTTTGTAAATTTTCTGTTTTTTTAATAAATATAAATTTTAAAAAACCAACCCTGCTTTGTACAAGTGTGATAGAATTCTATGTAATAAAAACTACAAACATAAAAAAGAGCCCTTAAAGAGAGGTGAGGATGGGTAAGGGCGAAACCACAGGGCTGCACAGTTTGGTGATTGGAGGGAGTAGGGGAAGGAAATGGGAAGGATCCTGGTGAAAAGACAGGGTAATAAGAGGCAAAGTCCAATGGTGATTAAATTTATAAAACATAATACATGAGAATGACTGTATGAAACACAATGTGAATAGTACAAAACACAATGTATATAAACTTTGTAAGCAAACCAATTTAAAAAAAATGTAAAATAGAACATACATGAATGTTTGTTTGAAACACATGGTAAGATGTATAAAACACAATGTATATGAATGAAACAGAATGTAAAGGAATTTATTATATGAAAACCAACAAAAAGATTTTTTAAAAAAAGATTCCTAGGCATGAGAAAAAAAATATCCCGCACTCAGCAACAACAAAAAAGGTTGATTCTAACTCACAGTGACCTGAAGGGTAGAAATGAACTCACTGCTCTCTAGGGTTTCAAGGTTGTACATTTCCACAAAAGCCCAGTGTGTCCCATCATTCTCCTGGGGAGCCAGGGCGTGGCTGGCGGGTTTGATTCAATATAATATTGCTTAATACTTGCTTAGCAGTCAGGTAACCAAGACACCACCACAGACTGCATGTGAAGAAGGAAGTATCCAGTGAGGTTGAATCGAACACTCTTTTTAGTTAGGCACAAACAAAGCATATTTTCTTTTAATATTTCAGCTTCCTGTCCTAGAAAATCATCTCAACATTCCCTTACTACAAAGTGTGAAAACAAAGCCTGTGAACACTTTAAAATGCATCAGGTGAGTAAATCAGTGGTTTCCTGACATCAATTATACACATCATTCTGGAGATAGATGAAAAAGGACAGGAACTGCATTTGAAGAAAAACTGAAGAAATCAGTAAGCACTGAATTTCTTGTTAAAAAATAAAAATTATTTTTTATTCATTTTGTGTTTTTAAAATAATTTTTTCATTTTAATTGTGATTTTAACGAAAGTTTACAGAAAAGTTAGATTTTCATTCATTCATTGTTACACATTCCGCCCCTTCCTTTTTCCTCCCTCCCCCAGTTTACTTTAAAAGGAATACATGGCTAAGGGATTATATGTATGACAACAGTTCCAACTAAGAGGTACATTGCAAAGAGGACTGGGGGAAAGGCAGGGAGGTAGGTAACTGTGTAATGATGAATGAGTACTTTTAAAAAAGTACTTAATTTCTCATGTGATAAAAATTCTTTAAACCTTAAGTAATTGCTTGCTAACTAATTCCAAAAATTCAACAAGTTTGCTAGATGATGATAGCTTTCCTGAGCTGCACATCAACAGAGGGAATGAGAACACAGCTCATTTAATCAATACTAAACTCACCAGAGCAGGATGCCATCTGAAAGGCATTTGAAGAGACTGTCATCATTGGGATTCATGGGTATGAGATGTGCACAGTCAGGGTCGTTCTCAAGAGCTTTATTTATCCAGTTAACAAAAGCCACTTTTTCTTCCTCTGAAAACAGAACAGTTCGGTAAGCAAACCCTATTTCACAAAGTCCTAAAGAAGCAGGTGTTTCAATTTCTTCTCAAAGATAATGAAGGACTCTTACTGAACGGCTCTAAAATTTATGACAACAGGAACAACTTGCACCTTTTCACCTGATTACTAAGGGATACCTAGACCAAAAGGCTTCTGTGTAAAAAGAACAAGGGAACACTGTGGCTGTATTCTTGCTCCTGAACTATTCAATCTGTATGCTGAGAAAACTATTAGAGTAGGTAGCCTCTCTGAGGAAGAATATGGCATCAGGAAGGCTCACCCATCAGTAACTTTCACTACGCAGATGACACAAACCTGCTTATTCAAAGTGAGGAGGACTTGAAGCACTTGCAGCAGATCAAAGACGACAGCCTTCAATATGAATTGCATCTCAACATCAAGAAAACAAAAATTCTCTCTTTTGGCTGCCAGTCTGGGGCTATTTCCAGGTTGGGAAGATGAGCTGAACTGCTGGATTCTGCAAAGGTGTGCTTTCTGGTTTGGGGTTGAGACTAGGATGTGGCTCTTGCTCACAATAGGGTGTGAGTTGATTGGATTTGGCCTCACCTTTAAAAAGGCATTTGAGCCCTTGGCTCACAGGAACTTCCTGTTGTCCAAGCACTGTTGTAAGAACTACATGCACCATCACATTCAATCCTCACAGAAGCTCTAGGAGGCTGGAATTATGATAAGTCTCATTTTAGAGTTAAAGACTTGAGGTCAAATGCTTCACAGTAAGTGAAGCTGAGAATTGAAGCCAGAAAGGCTGCCAAAATAAAAATCCATTGCATTTATACTGATGCTCTCCACAGAATTATGTTTATGCCTGCCTCTCAAAAGAAACACCCTATGGCCCTTTCCTACTGGAAACTGCCCCAGAATCTGACTTTCTAGTCTGGAATTGTTAGAGCTAAAAACATGAACACAGTATGATGTGTCTTACTAAAAACTCAGACAATGAATCAAAAGATTTAATTTCTTTTTGTTAGAAAAATGTGAATTATATTGTGTTTCTGGAAAAATATTTCGTGCCTCTTTTCTATGCATTATTTAGTTACAGGAAATTATGTATTAGGAATATAATCACAGAGATTTAACAACCTACAATATACTATTCAGAACAAATGCCTTAATACTGACACAAAAGTCCTGTCAAAGAACAGGAAGTGTGAGTCATGTCTAAGTACTCAGCATTCCTTCCTAGTTTATAATCCCCTTTCCTAGTTCAAGAAGAGAACTACAGCCTAAATTATTCACATTAACACTCTGAATTTGTGGACTGTACTGGACAATCCAAAGTATCTTCTTTCAGATGATTATTAAAACAAAATGAAATTAAAATAACCAAGAAATACGTTTGGGCCTGCTTTTTTGTGATCTCCTGAATGAAACAGGCTTGGAAGCAGGAGTGGCATCCACTTAAAAAAAAAAAGCTTGCCTCAGGAAACTCTGTGAACTCGGAGTAAAGATGAAAGTTTAGCATTCAAGACTTTCATTCATAGGGTCGCTATGGGTCATCTATGACTCTATGGCACTTAACAACAACAACAACAAAAGGTGGACCAATAGGCAACATCATGACAGATGGAGGAAAGATTGAAATGGTCAGCAACTTCGTATTACTTGGCTCCACAATCAATACACTTGGCACCAAGCAGTCAGGAAAAGGAGACATATTTATTGCACCGTAAAAGTTTACAGTGAGGGACCTCCCCAAAGTGCTGAAGAGCAATGATGATGGTTTCACACAAATGCTTACTTCAGCACTATTTAAAATAACCAACACACACACACAACTCGAAAGTTCAAAGGCTGATAAACAGATACAAAAGAGGAACCATACAATGGCATCTATTTGAGAACATAAAGGATTATGGTACTGGCTTATGGTACAAGATGGATGAGCCTTGACAACATCATGCTCAGTCTAAGAATCCAGTCAAGTCAAAGAAAGGTGACACACTGTATGACTCATTTTAGAAGACATTTCCCAGATAAGCATATTCATAGAAATAGAAAGTAAATTGGTGGTTCCCCGAAGCCAGAGAGGGTGGAGTATAGGAAGTGACTATTTGGGTACAAAGTGTTCTTTATGAGTGATAAAAATATTCTGAAATGAGATAGTCCTGATGGTTGTGCAACTATACTAAAAGTATGAACTGTACACTTTAAAAGAAAGCATTTTATGGTGTGTAAATAATATGTTACTAAAGTAATTTTTCTCAAAGCTATTTAATGCTATACATCTTGTTCTAAAAATGCTTTACTGCTAAGTTTTTTGTTTTTTTAAAATTTTTTTTTAATTTTTATTGTATTATTTTTACGTGTACCATCAAATCAGATCTGACTGGTACAGGAGGAGGCTGTCCCCTCCTTCTCCAGCAGAGCATCTGGTGGATTTGAACCACGTACTTCTGGGATTGCAGTGCAGCATCTTGCCACTAGGCCACCAGAGCTCCCTTGCTAACAGTTTTAATTGGCTGATGTTTCTTCAAAACTAGAACCCCAGGTCTTCCCTCCTAGTTTGTCTCAGACTAGACAATCTGTTAAATGTTATCCACCCACAGTGGTCCTACTGGTATTTGAGATTAACAGTGGCACAGCTTTAAACATCACAGCAACATGTAAGTCATTATAACTAACAGACAAGAGAGAATTCTAGTGCTGGATATGAAGATATTGTGCACTCCCAGAAAAAAATTCCACATCTGTGTGGGAAGACATACAGCCAGGCTGCTCCTTGGAAGTAAGAATGAGACTTCATCTTATGTACTTTGGACAGATCAGAAAGACAGACAAAGCTAAAGAAAGACATCAGTTTTCTTATCTTCTCTAAAGCAATAAAAGTTGTTTCTGAAGGTTATAGAGAACACTGCTTCTTGAAACACTCCTTAATTCATTGCCTAAGCACTGCTTTTGATAATAGAATGCTTGCTTTAGAAACTGTTTATTGATCTTTACCTAAAAGTTCCTTTTATAATTGCAAGCATCCATCATGACCTGCATCCTGTGTCTTCTGGACTTAAATATTATCCTACAAATGATACTTCACATAATGAATGTCTGCTTGTGGCTTTATGAACTCATCACAGTTATTATATTAGCATGTTTTATACTTAGCATGGGAAGACCTGTGTCAAATGAACACTGCTTATTTCTTATCATTGAACTTACTTTTCTTTGAATACTTTTACTCAATGAATGTACATTATAGTACAACATAGCATAGGACAAGTCAAAGACAAGTACCAGCATTACATTGTCAAACTACAGAACGAACCTCCAACTTAACCCAGGTTGTAAAATCTAGACCACCAGTTTGTAACCCATTTCTGCACTTGTAGACTGCCCTCAATGTCTTTTCTTTTTATTTACTCTTATTCCACCTAAGCTAAAATTCTGTTTTTATTCCACAGGAAAAAACAAACAAACCCCAAACACAGAAAGACTGCATGCATGTTAAAATAGATAGTCACCTAAAAAGAGACAGACCCTCAATGAGGTGAAGTGACACAGTGACTGAAGCAAGGGACTCAAATGTGGCCATAATAGTGAAGCAGTGACTTGTTCTCTCATATACAGGACTGCTATGAGTTGGAACAGACTCAACAGCATTTAACAACAACTCTACAAAACTTACTCCTTAATATCAACATACTAGATGTGCTTTACCATGTATATAATACACTTCAATTTAAAAAGTTTTTGAAAATTCTGTGATGAGAGTCTACAAAAAACCCATTTCCAATGAGTCAGTTTCAACTCCTCCATCATCCTACATCCTACATCACAGTCTCAGGGTGTCTGAGGCTGAGGTCTTTACAGAAGCAAACTGCTACATCTTCCTCTTCTGGGGAAGCTGGTGAGTTTGAACTGTGACCTTTCAGTTAGCAGGTAGACATTTAACAGCTATGAATAAGTAGTGTTTTCTAAGGAGGCTCTGGTGGTTTCGTGGTAAGAAACCTGTGCTGCCAACACAAAGTCACATGGTTCGGATCCACCAGCTGCTCCAGGAAAGAAAGATGGGAAGTCACCAGGTGACTTTACTGCCTTTGAAAACCCACTGGAGGGCCAGCTATGAGTAGGTTCCAACTGGACAGTACAGAAGAGTAACAGTGTTTTCAGTGTTGATAGGAGTCAGAAAGTAGTTAAATCTGGGGACGACAAGGCAGGGACATAAAGTCTTTCAAAGTAAGAGAAAGGATTTGTATCTTGATCTGACTGACAGCGACACAGATAAAACTACATGGATGTATGTTGTTGTTAGGTGCTGCCCCGTCGAGCAAGACTCATAGTGACCCTGTGAACAGCCAGTCTGAACCCTGCCCGATCCTGTGCCATCCTCACCGTCTTCAAGACACTAGAGCCCATTGCTGAAGTCACAGTGACAATCCATCTTCTTAGGGGTCTTTCTCTCCTTCGTTGACCCTCCATCTTCCTAAGCACGAATGTCCCTTTCCAAGGAACAGCCTCACCTAACTACATGTCCAAAGTATGAAAGATGAAGTTGTCGTCAAAGTCAATTCATTGAGATCCCTGTGTGTCAAAGTGAAATTATGCCCTCAAGGCTGTCATCTTCCCAAAGCACAACAATAGTCTGTCTTCAGAGGTAGACTCAACCAGCTAGCTAATAACTGAGTGTTTAACTATTTGTGCCACCCACTCGTTGAGTTGTACATTAAAGACTGTAGCCCTTTGCTGAATGTATGCTGTAGCAAAGTGTAAAAAAAAAGTTTGGTTTTATTATTGTAAAAATAGAAGGATAACTAGTAAAACATGCATGGGGACCCAAAGAAAGAAGGGGCGGGAGCAGAGGGGTGAGGACAGGTAGGGAAGAAACCACAGTTAGTTGCACAGTTCGGTGGGTGGAGGGAGAGGGTGAAGGAAATGGGAAGGACTGGCAGTGATCTGAAAAGACTGGGTAAAAATGGGCAAGGGCCAACAGCGACTGTTTTTATAAAACATAATGCACGGGAATGATTGCATGAAACATAACATGAATGAAGAATAGTGTGAAACACAATGTATATGAACCTTGTGAGCAAACCAATATAATTTTTTTTCAAAAAGAGTTTGATGCACACTCATGTTTACTGAGGCATAATAGCAAAGAGCTGGAAGCAACCCAAGTGCCCATCAACAAACGAATGGATAGAGAAGCTCTGTTATATTAACACAACGGAATACTATGCAGCACTGAAAACGAAGGAACTCATGAAATATTCTACAAAATGGGTAACCCTGGAGGACATTATGCTGAGTGAAATATCTCAGTCACAAAAGGACAAATATTGCATAGTGCCACTGTTGTAAAACGGAATTGACATCAGGGTTGAGGGAAGACAGAGGAGGAAGGGATGAATGATTTATACTGCACTGGAACAGATGAAGGAGAAAATTGTTTAAAAGGGATATATGATTGGGTACTATTGTCATGACAGGAGTCCGGAATGAAGGCTGCACAGTGGAGTGGACTTGGTGGAAGGGACTGCATAACAGTGAAAGAGTTTTTGTTTTACTTTTCAAGAAGAGTGAATTTGGGGGGAGGGGTGGCCAGGGAGAAAAGTGCAACAATGAATGAATGGAAACCCTAAGTCTCTGTAAACTTTCATTAAAATTAATAAAGAAAAAAGTTTTGTTTTTCTTCTTAAAGAGAACTACTGTAGTAGAAAAGACATGCATATATGACACTAAGGGATAAATTTTAAAATTAAATTAAAAAAACAAGAAAAGAGAGCATGAACTAGAGCATGACAGTTATAGATCACCACCTTACCATAACTTTCTTAGAGGGATAGTGTGTGGTTTTGTTTGTTTTGGTTTTTTTTTTTTTTAAAAAAAGTAGTTGGCAAAATTACAAATATACCACTAGGAAAAAAGGAAGCGCTGGTGGTTTTAAGGAGTTGTTCTACCAATCCTAAAGCAGGCACTTCAAATCCACTACCTGCTCTGTGGGAGATGGATGGGCAGTCTCCTCCCATGTGAAGGAGGGTCAGCGATGAGTCGGTTCTGGCTCGACATGTTGTCAGTACATGACAACAACAACAATCAGAGGAAACCCAGTTAGAAAGAGAATCAAGAGCAAGTAAGAAAGAGGATAACAGAGTAAGGAGAAAGAGGGAATGTGGGATTATAGGGTATTTTGGTCAAAATTTAAAACGTATGCTGCTCTGAGTAGTTTTCCTCTGACTCAGGAGAGTGCAGGGTTCAGAGCTATTGTGCACAGCATCACTATGAGTCGCAGGTAACTTGATAGCAACTAACAACAAGTGCTCTATGTGTTTATATGAATTAAAGAAACTTGTCCAAGGTTACAGATGTCTAGATCTGAGAATGAGAACTTAACATGATGAAAGTCACTTCCCTGTAAGAATTCATGAGGCTCTGGAGTACCTATTGGACAACAATCCAGTGATGCTATCAGATCAAATAAATCAAATGCTGTGCTCTCTTGTCACTTAATGTCTTGATAAATGATGAATAACATAGCTTCTTGTTGTTGTGTGCTGTTGAATCTCCTGCAACTCATAGCGACCCAATGTACAACAGCCCTAAACCCTGCTCTATCCCTTGCCAATCTCATTGTTTCTGACATGATCATCCCTATTACCCCAGTGACTGAATCAAAATCCTGGAAAAAGGAAAGGAAAAATTTTCACTGCCAGATCAGGTCTAAAAACTTCACCAGTGGGATGGACAATCCACTCCATGGTCATTTTTAAACACACTCAGCAATGAAAAATAAACAATTACCATTTTTCTGTTTCTAATCTCATGCCTCTCGAAACTCTATGGACTTTGAGAAATGATGATAGTTATAGAAAGGCTTCAGGTCTTTTGTTCATAAAGTTGCTTTGAGTCAAGCTCAACTTGATGGCAATCAACAGCAATAACAACAATCTCTGATCTGTATCATGTCTGACACATAGTAGGAACTCATTCATTTTAATAGCTCTACAATTTTCATTTTGATGTCTCTGAAATGTAGATACATTTCAAAACTTGAGAACAAATTATATAATCTGGTTTGTAGGATTTTTCTCTTTGATAGTCAGATAATGGTATGCAATGGTATGACTTAAAATAAATTGCATTTTACCTTTAGGAATCTATGGAAAGGATGTGTGACCAAAAGATCAAATTTAAAGCAGTAATTTACCTGAGTAAGAATGCTGCGTGCCTTCACTGGAAATTGATGAAGTTCCTCCAATAGCTGTTATTCCTTCCCTCTTGTTAATTATTTTTCGGAATGTTTTGCTGATGTCTTTGCTTTTTAACTCTTGCATTAGCTGGGGAGGAATAAAAGTAAAATTGAGTCTGCAGCAACACTGCAACATAATTTATTTAGAATTACACCAAAATAAGTATTAAATAGGAGTTCTTAAATTCTTACCTGCTTTTATCCACAGATAGGTCTAGTGTCATTTTACCAGTGTACAAAATTGAGAAATGTTTGCCCAGTGTAGAATAATATTTTATTAGAATTAAGCTAAAATTCAACACATTGAAATTACCCTTCTTTATCTGCCATGACTTTTTAGCATACAAATGTAATTTGACAACATGACGAAATAATACCTTCATGCAAGTATTCTCCTGTTTAAACACGTCTGATGTATAGTCATTAAAGCAAATAAATCAACTCCTCCTACAGGAAGTCACATGGGCTAGTTATTCGGAATGATACCATAATAAAGATGAATCAGTTCTTAACTGCTATGTTCACCAACAGCCCTAGTGTCATTTTTCCAATATCCAAAATGGAGAAATGCTTGCCCACTGCAACTATTAACACAAATTTGTTTTAACTGAGCTTATATTCAAATTTTTTCCCCCTTAAGATCATGAACACATGAAGAACAGCAGGAAAGGGCAAAGGGCAGCCCTGTCTGCATTACTCCCACACTTATTTGGGGGGATAACTGCTGTCTAGCTTGACTATGCACAACCCATTAACTCAGGGAGTAACTGCCCGCCAACCACATGACCAACCACCTGCCACTGCACGACCCCAACACGGCTCACCAACCCATAAACCCTCAGCGGTGTGCAAGCCCCGCCCCTCGCCTCCCGGTGGTGGGGTGATGGTGCCCCTGCCCCATGCGCCTATGCCCCCCTCACAGCACGGCCTCCCCGTCCCCCGTGGCTGGGCCACAACCGTGCACCTTCACCCTCACCACAGCCCTGTGCCCCCGGTGGCACCCCAGGGCTACTAGAGAGTCCTTCACAGCACAGAGACTGACCAACACAGCGTATAGCAGGCTGTTGAATCAGAACTTTTGTTGGAGCAATTAGTTTGCAAGTCACAGGAGCACTCTGCAGATCCTGCCATCACTCGAAGCCACAAGCTGAGCTGCTGTGGGAATGATCTGGCAGGAGAAATGCCAGTAGGATCCTGACTGGTTTTTTCAGGGGTACCGCTGAGCCCACAGGTGGGAATTTGGCCGAGCTCTCTTAGGCCACACAAACCTCCCAGGAATGAACCAGCCAGTGGAAATTTGAACTTTTCTGGACACTGCAGACCAGCCAGAGGCAAGTGGGCTGGTGGGAATCTGAATTTTCGGGTCCCGTTGGACACAGGACCCTGCTTGGGCAGGGGCTGCTGCATAAGAGCACCTGCGTAAGTGCCATTGGGCAGGGACTGCTAAGTGAAAACCACTGGGTGGGAGACAGACAGCTGGAATTTGAGTAGGGGACCCAATCGTGAGCACATCCAGAGAGCTGAGGTCTGAGTGAGGTCCCCCAAGTGGTTGACCTGCCCTTGTGATCGCCCCACCACTGTGCCTGCCTCACCGTATTTGGCTCCACACCAGTGTCTACACACCTGGTCAATCAACTTGCCTTTAATGGAAAGCACCTTGACCTGTCTTACCAACAAGAGGCTGCTCTCACAAGCTCTGCACTGACATTTCCCTGGAGTCAGAAGTTCAGAGAGAAACACAAGTGGGGTAGCTGCCCAACTGATCTCTAGAGCATTGTCTTCAGAGCAAGAGCATATCAATGTTTCGAGGAAAGCAAGCTATCCCAAACACTATACAAGCACAAAGCAAGATGTCACCCCCAAAGGGTGACACAGTATCAATAGATTTCCTTAAGCCAGAAAGTCTGATGGAACTTTCTGACACAGAATTTAAAAGAACAATGAGTGAATATTTTCAATGGATGAAAGATAAACTTGAAAAATTACAAGTTACTACAGGCAAAAACCAGGAGGAGCTCAAAAAACAATCCAGAACAATGTAGAGAAAACAAACGAGGCAATAGCGTCACTGGAAAAACAAGAAACCACTATCCAAAATATGAGGTCCAATGTTTCAGATGCTGTCAACATGATGAGGGACACATGAGCAGAGACGAAGAGCTGTAACACAGAACCAGTGAAACAGAAGACAGAATTGTCACCACTGATCTGCTAGGCCAAAAAAGCAGACTCAAGAAAGAAGGAAAAAGAAGAAAACCTAAGAATAAAGTGGGACGCCATCAAAAGAAATAACATGCACATCACTGGAATCCCAGAACAGGAAGAAGGAAGTAAAGGCACCGAAAAAGTTGTGGAAGAATTAATAGAAGAAAACTTCCCAGGCATAATGAAGAATGAGAGAATATATATTCAAGAAGTTCAGCAAACACCATATAGACTAGACCCCAAAAGAAAAACACCAAGGCATATCAGAGTTAAATTTGCCAGAACCAAAGATAAGGAGAGAATCCTGAAAGCAGCAAGGAAGAAAAACAAAGAATAACCTATATGGGAGAGCAGATAAGATGAAGTGCTGATTTCTCAGCAGAAATCATGCAAACAAGAAGGGACTGGAAGGACATATATCAAACACTCAAAGAACACAACTGTCAACCAAGAATACTGTATCCAGCAAAATTATCCATCAAATGAGAAGGAGAGATGAAGATATTCCCAGGAAAGTAGGACCTAAGAGAGTGTGTAAAAACAAGACCAGTGTTGGAGGAAAGACTCAGAGATGTCCTTCTTACAGACATACAGACATACCACAGAAAGGAGCATGGTCCAAAGTAACTAGCAAAACCATCAAAAAGAACTCAACACAATGATAGCAATAAAGCCTTGCCTCTCAATAACCACACTGAATGTGAATGGTTTGAATGCACCACTGAAGAGGAGTAGCAGATTGGATAAAAAACCAAAATCCATCAATATGTTGTCTATAAGACACACCTGAAAAATGGAGATAAAGAAAGACTAAAAATAAAAGGGTTGGCGCGCCTGGGCGCCTCGGAGCCCTGCCGTTGGGTCCCGCCCAGGGTCCGCGGCCCAGCATGAGGCAAGATAATGAGACGCAGCCTGGAGAACCGGGACTCTCAAACCAGGCAACTGCAAGATGCTGTCACGAATGTGGAGAAGCACTTTGGAGAGCTGTGCCAAATCTTTGCTGCGTATGTGAGCAAAACTGCCAGACTGCGAGACAAAGCGGACCTGCTGGTGGATGAAATCAACGTGTACGCCTCGACAGAGACCCCCCAATTAAGACAGGGCCTGAAAAACTTTGCTGATGAGTTTGCCAAACTTCAGGATTATCGACAGAGGTTGAAAGACTTGAAGCCAAAGTAGTTGAACCTTTGAAAGTTTACGGAACCATTGTAAAAATGAAACAGGACGACCTCAAAGCCACATTAACAGCAAGGAATCGAGAAGCTAAGCAGTTAACCCAGTTAGAAAGGACACGTCAGTGAAACCCATCTGACCGACATGTTATTTCACAGGCTGAAACAGAATTACAGAGAGCTACAATGGATGCTACCTGAACAACACGTCACCTGGAGGAAACAATTGACAACTTTGAAAAACAGAAAATAAAAGACATAAAGAATATATTTTCAGAATTTATCACTATTGAAATGTTATTTCACGGCAAAGCTTTAGAGGTCTACACTGCTGCCTTCCAAAATATACAAAAGATTGACAAGGAAGAAGATTTAGAGTTTTTCCGAAACACAGTGTATCCACCAGATTATTCATCTCGTTTAGATATTGTAAGAGCAAATTCAAAGTCACCGCTTCAGAAATCTGTCAGCCAAGTGTGTACATGGAACCAGACAGGTATCCTCCACCTACCGACTGAAAAAAGGATCAACAAGTAGATGAGGAGGATGAGGATGAATTAGACATGACAGATGAAAATTAATTTCCAAGTATTCTTCACATTTCTACTTTCATTTTATAATGACTCAGAATCCAAGAT